TTTTCTTTGTTGGGAGGTTTTTGATTACTGATTCAATCTCTTCAGACTTGTTAAGGGTCTTTGAAATCTTTTGTTTCTTGTTGTAGATAGGTTGTTTCTAGAAACTTGTTCATTTCATCTAAGTTTTTCCTTCATTTATTTCTGCTCTGATCTTTTTTCTTTGCTTCCTTCTGGTAGGTTTGGTAGCAGTATTGGAGGAAATGAGGGACAAAAAGAAATGAGGAACTTCATTCTGGTAGTGTCCTCTTTTTGTAGTTTCTCAAGTTATAAAGTTAGATTATTTTGAGACCTTTCTTCTTTTCTAATGTAGGCATTTACTGCTAAAAATTCCCCTTGAGTACTGCCTTTATTTCATACTGTTAGTTTTAGTATTTGTGCTTTCATTTTCGTTTGACTCTTAAGTATTTTTTTACTTCTCCCTTTGCTTATTGATTATTTAATAATGTATTGTTTATTTTCACATATTTATGTATTTTCTAGTTTTCCTTCTGTCATTAATTTTTAGTTTCATCTGCTGTGGTTGAGGAAGATGATTTCAGTCTTAATAAATTTATTGTGACTTGTTTTGTGACTTAGCATATGGTCTATCCTGGAAAATAATTCAGGAGCATTGGAGATGAATATGTATTGTGCTGTTGCTGAGTATTCTATATATGCCTATTAGGTCTAGTTGGTGTATAGCACTGTTCAAATCCTCTACTTCTTTACTGATCTTCTTTTTAGATGTTTTATTATTGAACCCAAAACTAAACCCACTGCTATGAAGTAGTTTCCAACTCAAAGCGACACTTTAGGACAGAATAGAACTGCCTTATAGGGTTCTAAAGCTGTAAACCTGTAAGGAAGCAGACTGCCTCCTCTTCTTCCCACAGAGCAGCTGGTGGGTTCAAGTTGCTGATCTTCTAGTTAGCAGCTAAATGCTTCAACCACTATGCCACCAGGCTGCCTTGTCTGTTACTGAAAGTGGTTTATTATTGAAATTTCCAACTATTATTATAGAATAATAATAAACTTATAATAATTAAATTATAATTGAGTGATAAATAATAAATTATATACATAATAATTATATAAATAAAAAATAAATTACAATTTAATAATAATAATAGTAATAAATAATTAAACTTGAAGTTTGTCAGTGTTTGCATCATATATCTTAAGGCTCTGATATTAGGTGCATACATACTTGTAATTGTTACATTTTCTTGATGAATTACCCTTTTATCATCATATATTCTTCTTTGTTTCTTATAATAGACTAACATAAAGTCCATTTGTTGTATACTAGCAGAGCCATCTCACCTTCTCTTGGTTATTATTTGTATGAAGTTTTTTTTTCTCTCATTTTTTCACTTTCATCCTGTTTGTGTCTTTGGTCTAAGATGTGTGTTTTATAGATAGCATACAGATGGATGATGTTTTTAAATCTATTCTGCCACTCTACCTTTTAATTGGCCTGCTTAATCCACTTACATATAAGGTCATTACTAATAAGGAAGTACTGATTGCCATTTTCTTACTTTTTTTTGTGTGTGTGTCTTGTATCTCCCCCCCCCCCATTTCCTGGAATATAGGTAACATTATGTTAAGTTGATTTTTACAGTGAACAGTTTTGGTTTCCTTCTCCCTTGTGTATCTTTTTTAGATATTTTCTTTGTATTTACCATGAGAATTACATTTAACATGTTAATCTATAACAGACCTGGTTTAAATTGATACCAACTTAACTTCAGTAAATACAAAAACTCTATTCCTGTATCAGTCCCGTCAGCCTTATTTATGTTATTATTATCAGTTAACATCTTTTTATATCATGTGCCCAGTTAAATAAATTTATACTTATTTTTTATCCATTTGTTCTTATGAAACACGTTAACTAGAAGTACCAGTCAAACATAAAAGTGGCCCTCATACTTGCCTGTAAAATTACCTTTAATGAAGATCTTTTTGTCCTGTATGGCTCTGAGTTAAGGAGCTCTGGTGACATAGTGCCTAAGGCATTTGACTGCTAATGAGAAGGTTGGCGGTTCAAACCCACTAGCCACTCTGCAGAAGGAAGACTGGGCAATCTACTTCCGTAAAGATTTACTGCCTCTGAAACCCAGAAAGGGGTCACTATGAGTTAGAATCGACCCAACAGCAATGAGTTTGGTTTTGGTTTTGGCTTTGAGTTGTTGTCTAGTGTCCTTTATTTTCTATTTGACTCCCTTTAGCCTTTCTTTTTATTTTATTTATTTATTTGTTTAAATTGTGATTTGGGTGAACGTTTACAGCTGTTGATACACATTTTGTTTCATGACATTGATTGCAATACCCATAATGGAAGAACTCTCTTCCCACTTCCTGCCTGTGGTTACCTTTTCCCTGTGTCCTTCTTTCCTATGCATCCTGCCCTCTGGGCCATCTCCCTGTGAAAATAATGCCCTTCTGATCTCCCATGATTTACTGTTCTAAGAAGTGTACCTACCTTATATGCTTATACCTATATACCTAATACTGTACCTTACAGTATATATATACATATACATATATATATATATATACACATATACATATATACACACACACACACACACATATACATACATACACGGGAGCTCTGGTAGCCTAAGACACTTGACTGCTAACCAGAAGGCTGGCTGTTCAAACCCACCAGCCTCTACTTCCGTAGTGATACTGCCTCGGAAACCCAAGGAGGGGTCTCTATGAGTCGGGTCCAACTCGACAGCACATAACAACAACAAATATATATATATATATATATGTATGTATGTATGTTATAATTTATATTACCTTATACTTACCTCATATGCTTGGCTGTTTGTCTGGAAGCCACAGGAGTGATGCTTTAGCATTTCTTGTAGGACAGGTTGAGTGGTAGTGGTCAAGCCTGCTTGCTGTGCTAAACTATTGAACCAAGGTCCAAGTCACCAAGAAAGATGATTTATATACAGGCATTGAATGGAATAATGCTTTACTCACGTATATAAGAGACAGAGCAAGCTCAGTTTCAGCATTGGGTGCCATAGTGTTCATAGTCTACATACACCCCTCTCATGCTGCAGTTGAAGGATGCCATTTCCTCCTCGCCAGGAACAGATAACAGAAATAAAATAGATGCCATGTGATGTACATGCACATACAAGCAGAACAAAGAGAATTTCTGTGTACCTAGAACAAGGAGAGAGTATCTCCAATAAAGATAAGAAACTTGGGAGAGAGTGACTCCATTCCCAGCTTCTGTTCTGGAATGTTCTGGGCCTGAGGCTTCTGATGAAATGGCCTGTGTAAGGGTCAAAAGGCTGTGTAATAAGCTGCTTTGCCATTTTCCCCACAGTAACAAACATCTTCACCTTTTATTTGTAAGTCTTAATTTCATCCTCATTCATGAAGGACAATTTTGCTGGGTAAAGAATTTTTTGTTGACATTTTCTTCTCAGCATGTTAAATTCCACTGCCTTCTGACCTCCAGAATTTCTGAGGAGAAATTGTCCTTTAATCTTATCAAGGATCCTTTGTATATGACAATTCTTTTCTCTTGCTGTTTTCAGGATGCTCTCTTTGTTTTTTGTTTTCAAGAGCTTGATTATAATGTATCTAAGTCTGGATCTTTTGGGGTTTATCCTACTTAAAGTTCATTGAGCTTCTTGGTTTTACAGATTCATGTCCTTTGTCATTTTTTTCCCCCAAATATTCTTATGTCCTTTTTTCTGTTCTTGAAATTACCATGAGGCAGATGTTAGTCCACGTGATGGTGTTACACAGTTCCGTTGAGCTATACTCAGCTATTCTGATCCTTTTCTCTTGTTGTCTTTCAGACTCAGTGATTTCTATTGCCTTATTCTCTAGTTTGCTGATTATTTCTTCTTCTGCAAGCTCAACTCTCCTATTGAGTTCTTAGAATGAGTTTTTCATGTCACTTACTTACTTTCCATGACCAGTATTTGTATTTGGTGCCTTTTTATATTGTCGATTTATTTATAGTCTTTTTTTTTTTTTTTTTCCATGCATCATTTTCCTGATTTCTTTTAGTTCTTGGAACATGATTAACATTTTTTTTTTTTTCAAAATTTTCTAATCCATTATCTGGGCTTCCATAGAGATGACATCTCTTATTTCATGTTGTTCTTTTGTATGGACCATCATTTCCAGTCTCTTTGTGTGCTTTATTTTATTTCTTTCTTTTGTTGAAACCAAGACATTAGAATATTACAGCGTGTGAGCTTTTTCAATTTCATTGTATATACAGTGCTTTCAAAACCACTAATTTATGCAGAAATTTCTTAGGCAGACATAGCCTTTAGTCTTTGCTCACTGCTTCCTCATCCTTCTCTGAGGGCTCATGCCGGACCAAGATTTCAGTCATTGTGGCAACTCCGAGACCAATCACAACAAACATATTGATCACTCCGCCAACAGAGTCTGCCCTGTTCACTTCAGAACTAGGGATCAGAGGTCCTTCTTTCTGAATATGAGAAATTCTCAGGTGGGCACAGCCTTCAGTCTTTGCACATTGCTCCCTCCCTCACCCCGTGGGAGCTCTGATTTAGATCGGACTGAAGTTTCAGTCACAGAGGCCACTTCCGGATTGATCAGAATAGACATAATAAACAGTCCAGCAGTGAAGTCTGTCACATTTACTTCACAGCCAGAAATCCCTGGGCCCTTCTTTGTGCACAAGAGAGCTGTAGGTTGACTGGGACTCCACTGCAGACACGTGGCTGCTACAATTGATGGGGAAGGGTGGGAATGTGGAGAAAGATTTTCCTACCATTTAAAATTCTCCCTCATCTTGCAGTGTGTGGCTCGTTACTGCTTTCACATGCCGACTTGCAGGGTTGAGTTGGGATTTCTAGTTGATACTTTTTTTTGATACTTGTATGGAAGGGTCAGGATCTTAAGACGGGCTTATCCCACCATCTTCCCAGAAGTACTCCATATATATATATCTTTTTTCAAATGTGTGGTTTACGTTTTGAATTATTATTATTTTTTCTTAGGTATGAAGATACATGGGCTGCACTTCACAGAAGAGCCAAGGAATGTGCAAATGCTGCAGAGGTAAAGGATATTCTAATCTTATACCAGTGGGAAATTTCTTTATTTAGTGTTAAATGCTAGTTTTTTAAAAATGAAATTTATAAACTGTTCGTATTAAAATGTTTTTCAGGATATCTGAAATTGAACTTAATAGTTCATTATGAAACTCCATGAATAAAGCACTTCAATGTTTCAGTGAAGTAATCTTACTTAAGTTAGTTAGGCTTGTTGTTGTTGTTTGCCATCGAGTTGGACCTGACTCATAGCGACCCCTCCTTGGGTTTCTGAGGCAGTGTCACTACGGAAGTAGATTGCCCCATCTTACTTCCGAGGAGTGGTTGGTGGGTTTGAACCGCCAGCCTTCTGGTTAGCAGTCAAGTGCCTTAGCCACTATGCTACCAGAGCTCCTTAGTTAGGCTTAGAGAGCTTATTCCAAAGTCACAGGTAAATGTTTAGTTCATCATGTTACAATGTTTATGAATTTGAGTCTAAAGACTTCACATTATATGTAAACTATAAGATATAATCCCTTTGTATCCACTGTTTAAGAATTCATTATTATTTGGACAAAAGCTAAACTTTGCTCTGTTTACCTAAATAATTTACTTGATAAATACAAAAATACAGAAACAAGCAAACAAACAAATAGTTCAGTGGTCATTCTCAATTCACTTAAAAGGACAAACTATTCTCAGGCAGCATGTATAGAATATATAATGAATAAAAGTGATTTGTGATTTAAATAATTTTGGTACATGTACTTAAAATTTTATTTGCCAAAGTTTATATGCTATTGATGTCCATAGAAATTTTTCTAAAAACACTTTTTTGATTCTTTTAATTAATTGAGGCTGACTTTTTAAATTATTATTACCATTTACTTAAATTTAGTGAATTGTTATATAGAACATGCAAAAACATATGAAATTTAAACATTGGTGTTTCTCTTAGAAATAAATGAAAAGAGGCAATTTGAAGTTGTGGCAATAGGGCAGATTAGATATTTTTGAAGTCTTACAATTGTAAAACACTTAAATGCTGGATAGATTAAAAATATATATATAGATGTAGTGATCTCACAGAAATTAAGAAAAAATCTAAAGACCTTCCAAAATAAACAGGGAACTGAAATGAGAGTGGTTAAAAACAAAACAAAAAACAAAACTGGAAGCTGGGGCGAAATAGTAATATAAGATCCTTGGAGATATATGAAGATAGGAAACCTTGCATATAAGGAACTGAATCTGAGACTGCATACATTGTATTCTTGGACCTTTGAAGTGACTTTATACTTAGTGAGAGATTAAGCTTAGGAAAAAAAAATATTTACTGGCAAAAGCTGTCTTCATAACTGGACATGTATGTGGTCTCCTTTATGAATTTGTTACCATGGTGTTGGTGCTAAAACGGCGAGGAGGCCACATGTTTTGACCTCCTCGAATCCCACAAGAGGAAGACAGGATTACCAGCAGTAACCCAAGGCCTATTCCTACAAGGCCAGACATGCTGCCTCCCTCCAGCCCTTTCACCAACCATTCCTCCCAAAGCACCCATCACCTCTCTCCTGGGTTCAGTAATTCGCTGCAGTGGCCACACAGAGTTCACAGATTATGAGGTTTATTAAGGAAGCACCACAGGCTACAATTCAAGTTCAGGAAAAAATGCTCAGCCTCTCTCCCAGCCCACCGTCCCTCAGCCAGCAGTCTCTCACAGTCTCTTTCCCAGCAGTGCTGGTCCCTCGGTGTCTCACTCAGCAATGTGTGTCTCTTGCGTCTCTTTCCCAGCAACGCGTGTCTCTTTCTGGGGTGTGTGTCTCTTGCAGCAGCACATCTTCCTCAACCAGCAGTCAGAGAGAGTTTTGCCTCTAGGAGGCCTCCTTTTCAGCCCCACAGAATGGTCAAACTAGCCAATCACAGCATCAGAACTCTAAGCACGTGAGAGTGAGTGGGAACCTCCCAGAACGTTGTATTGTGCCACGCCCAACAGAAATAACCCAGGTGGGCGACTTTAAAATCAGGATCTCCTCAGATGCTAACAGCAATTCCCACCTTAGAGTTTACAAAGACTTATGGGTAGAAAAGCCACACTAAGTAATTTACTACACCGCAGTTGGCCTCACATGAGTGTGGGATTCTAACTTCCTGAATGATCAGTGAACACCTATGATAAGAAATTAAAAGGTCGCAGATGACAGTGTTCTTTCACCTTTCCTACTTTGCTCATGTTATCAGATGGGACTAGTGCCCAGAGAAGAATGCTTGGTAAAGTAGATGGTCAGTGAAAACGAGCAAGACCCTCGGCAAGATGGATTGACAGTGGCTGCAACAATGCAAGCATAGCAGTGATTATGAGGATGGTGCAGGACCCAGCTGTGTTTCTTTCTATTGTACATGAGGTTGCTCTGAGTTGAAAAAGACTCTACAGCATGTAACAGCAGCAAAACATACACATGTATGTGGAGCCCTGGTGTTGCAGTGGTTAAGCACTTGGCTGCTAACTGGAAGGTTAGCCATTTGAACCCACAAGCCATTCCACAAGGGAAAGATGTGGCAGTCTGCTTCCATAAAGATTTACAGCTTTGGATATGACCACCATGATAACATTGGGAAATGAGGACACCAAACTATGCACATAAGAGATAGTCGACAGATGCTAAAACCAACCAATGTGTCCACAGTACCACATTGCCATTAACACCAAACACTAGGCTACACAGATAAACAAACACATACCTGAGATGATCAGACAGGGATCAGTGAATATAGAGGTATACTCTAGACCAAGGATAGACTCAGCTGAGGCTTATCTTGTACAGACACCAGTGATATAAAATACCTACAGTCCTTAAAGAAATAATAGAGGACAGACACAGAGTAATCTCTCACAGATATCCCAGCACTATGGGAGAGAGATCCAATGGAGCTACTACCTCAGGACCATAGTACTGGGGTACACCAGACTCAGTTGGCACAACAAAATACATAAAAGCATTGCTCCACATCCTACATTGGTGAGTAGCGACTGGGGTCTTAACAGCTTTAAGCAGCCATCTAGGATGCAGCTAATGGTCTCCTAGTGTCAGAAGTGAAGACGAACACACACAAAAAAAATGGCCCTTGAGACCAGAAGAACCGGATGGTGCCCAGCTACCAATGCCAACCACTCAGGAAAGGACCAAATCTGGAGATCCTGGATAGAGTGGGAGGAAAACGTGGAACAAAATCCAACAACTCAGTAATGACCAGAATAACTGGTTAGATGAAGTCTGATGAGAATCCCAATACTATGGCCCTGAAACACATTTGGCGCCTGGACTAAAACTCACCCCCAGGGACAGGCTCTCAGCTCAATAGTTAACAAGATGTACATGCAGACCACTCAACCCAGGATGCCACACCCACACATTCAATGGTAATACATCCCTTAAAGCAATAGACATGGGACACCAAAGGACCAACATTCAAACTGAGGAAATGCAGGACAGATAGGAATGCATAATTTTGAGGGGCACGGGGGGAGTGTTGCAGGGTAGGGAGGGGAGGAGACTGGGTTAGGGTTGGACATGGCAAATGGCGAATGAAACTAAATGTACGCTTGACTTTGAATGTAAAACAAGCTCTTAAAATAAAATAATAAAAAGATTTATAGCTTTGGAAACCCTATGGGATAGCTGTATAAGGTTGCTCTGAGTCAGAATCGACTCGATTGTGATGAATGTTTATATATATATACATACATACATACATACATATTTATTTATATAATTTGTGGGAAATCAGTAGTCTAATTTGTGAGATTAAAAATGATAGAACAAAAATGTTCAATAACAATAGCATATAATTTATAAGGCAGGTTCTGAGAGTTTAATCTCTGATAGTGTAGTGCCTAAAGCATTTGACTGCCAACCAGAAGGCTGGTGGTTCAAACCCACCAGCCACTCCTCAGAAGGAAGATTGGACAATCTACTTCCGTAGAGTTAGCGCCTCAGAAACCCAAGGAAGGGTTGCTATGAGTTGGATCTGACTTAATGGCAGTGAGTTTGGTGTGGTTTGGTTGGAGGTACCTTGTATTATTCGAGAGGTGTATATAGATGTTGATTAACTGTAGACTTTTTATGGGTTGAGTTGCATCCTCCAAAAAGATAAACTGACATCCTAATTCTTGGTACCTGTGAAAGAATCTTGTTTAGAAAGTGAGACATCATCACTTGAGTTAATATGAGATCATATTGGATAAATGTGAATTCTAATCCAATATAAGTGGTAACCTTATAAAAGAGATATAAAGACAGAGATAGAGGAAAGATAGCATGTAAAGACAAGAGGCAGAGATTCTAATGTTGAATCCACAAGCCAAGAATGTCAAGAATCAATGGCTGTCATCAGAAGCTGGAAGAGAGGCATCTAGGGCAAATTCTCCCTTAGAGTGCTCAGAAGAATCAGCACAGTTAATACCCTGCTTTTAGATTCCTGGCCTCCAGAGGTGTGAGACAATAAATTCCTGTTTTTATAAGTCACTCATTTTGTTGGGCTTTGTAATAGCAGCCCTAGGATTAATACAGGTTTAAGGTTAAATATGGAAGACAGAATTGCAAGGGTAACTACTAATGTCTGCCTTCCAAGCCAGCAGAAGACGACCCTAGACTTAAGGAGAAAGAATTCGGTCAATCCAAAAGGTAACAAGAAACCAGCAGGCCAAAAGCAGAATAAACAGAACACAATAAGATAGTAAAAGTAAATCTCAATAGCAACAATCACAATAATTGTAAACAGACTAATCTTCCCTGTTAAAACCAGTAAAATCAATTGCCATGGAGATGATGCTGACCCCATGTGTTGTAGAGTAGAACTGTTTTCCATAACATTTTCAGTGGCTATGATCTTTTGGAAGTGGACCACCAGGTCTTTTGAGGGGCCTCTGGATGCATTCAAACCAACTTTTTAGTGAGCAGCCAAGAACTTAACCATTTATGGCACCCTGAGGGCTCCAGTCTTGTTAAAAGGCATACACTGAAAGATTTG